CTTACTGATGTTTCTAAAGCCATTGTAGTAGATGGCACATCTGCAAGAGCTGTGGGAGTGGTCCGAGCAATTTTTTTCTCTAATAGTTGTGATTTTATTTGTAAAGAAGCTCATGAAGTCATTGCTGCTGAGATCTAAGGGAATGTTAAGCTCAACAGCACTGTGGCTCTTTGTCAGCCTGGCTACAGTGCTGAAAAGAAACCTGGGGTTGTTCTTATTTTCCTCAATCAGTGATGAATAAAATGTGGTTCTGGCACTATGAAGGGCTTTCTTATATGTTATTAAACTATCTTTCCAGGCTATAGAAAACTCTTCTGACTTAGTGGAGCGCCACCTCCTTTCCATTTTTCGTGATGCCTGCTTTAGGGAGCAGAGCTGCGAGCTGTACCATGGGGCTAGCCTCCTCTGTTTCACTACCTTCTTTTTCAGAGGGGCAATGGTATCAAGTGTATTACGCAGGAAGGCTGCAGTACTATCAACAAGATTATCGATTTGTGTGGGAGTAAGGTTAAGGTGGCCTCCTTCCACTGTGTTGGCAAACGGCACTGAAGTAGATAAAGATGGAATTATTTCCTTAAACTTGGTAACAGCATTGCCAGATGGACATCTGCTGTAGTGGAATTGTTTCCCACATGGAGTATAATCCATTAATGGAAATTCAAAAGTTATTAGAAAATGGTCAGACAGAAGAGGGTTATGGGGAAAAACTATTAAGTGTTCAGTTTTGATGCCATATGTCAGAACCAGATCAAGAGTGTGATTAAAACAGTGAGTGGGTTTATTTAGTTTGAGAGAAGCCAACTGAGTCTAATAATGAACAGAATGCATTGTTGAGGCTGTCATTGTCGGCATCTACATGAATATTAAAGTCGCCTACTATGATTATTTTATCTGTACTAAGCACTAAATCAGACAGAAAGTCTGAGAATTCACTTAAAAACTCTGAATAAGGAGCAGGTGGACGGTATACAATAACAAACAGAACAGGCTTTTGAGTTTTCCAGTTTGGGTGTGAGAGACTCAGGGTGAGACTTTCAAATGAGTTATAACTATGTTTAGGTCTAGGGTTGATTAATAGGCTTGAGTCAAAGATCGCTGCCACGCCACCACCTCGGCCTGTGTTTCGAGGGATGTGACAGACATGTCTGATTTCATAATGGAAGTGCTTTTCATAGAGATAATCAGGTGATTCTCACCCCCCCAACATTATGTGTATTACACCAGACTTTATACCTGATGTAATCCAGGGTCTGACAGAGCCATAGATCATATAAAGGAAAGACTAAAGTTCCTCCCAGGTTGCATTTTGTCATTAGAAGTGTGTGTGTGTGTTTGTCTGTCCCAGTTTACTCTGTCTTGCAGTGCACCTATATTACCATGCCATGAAATAAATTATAACGTTATGAAAGTTGTAATGTTCCAGAGGTTAATTAAACTGTGTGGTCAGTGTGGAAGCTGCAGCCCAGAGGTGTTTTGATCATTTACTCTACAGAGAAACACCTCAAACCTGCCAATTCACTCATCAAGGGTATTTTAAATTTACCTTTTAAAGTTTTTAGGGGTTGTTCAGAAATTCCATCAAAGGTTATAAGTACATTTTAACAATAAAATGCTAATTAAGATGTTTTATTCACACTTCTCTACCCGGAGAGAAAACAAACCTTGGACATAAGAGGTGAATCCCGTTTGGCCACGTAGAGAACCGTTTTAGATATTACTGAATTTAAATAAGCTACATGTGCCATGAATTTGATTGTAATCAAGAAAATTACAACCTTTCGTCATATACCTCAGTGCACCTCAGCTCCTTTTAATTTGGAATAAAACCTTATTAATTTGTTTCATTTCTAAAGTACTTGCGGTCACAAACTGCACTCACACCAACATAAGTGACTTGTGTTTAATTCAAACAACATATGAAATTAGATATGTGATACTGAAAACGTACACTAGGCCTGACTGTCTCACATGTTTGAAACTTCTGATGAGTGGCCTCAGTTGTCCTCGGTTTCTCAGGCCAGATGGAGATCTTACCAGACCGCTGCACCATGATTGCCAAGAAGGAGCTGATCTACGCCGGCACGGTAGGCCTCGTTTGCTGGCTAGGTGGCATCGTCTTCATCAACCGCAAGAAGACAAACGATGCCAAAAGTGTCATGGCTGATGCTGCCAAAACCATGTTGCACGACCAGGTAATATCCCTCTTGCAAACAGTTTTCATCAGTTTAGATTTCTGTGTGTTTTTGTTAGCACCCAGTCACCTCAGGGTTTGTAACATTCTGTTTTACTCACTGAGAGTGATGTAGGGTGAATAAATGTACTCTTCGTTGGTGTTTCATCTCTACAGATTCGTCTGTGGGTGTTTCCAGAGGGAACCCGGAACCAAAGAGGTGATCTCCTGCCGTTCAAAAAAGGCGCTTTCCACCTGGCTGTGCAGGCTCAAGTAAGTACATTGAGATATCCTTAATTTTCACATTCTTTTTGGAGATTCTGTATATACCTTGATTTTTTTTTTTTATCCCTCTCATTCCCCCTCCCCCTTCGTCTGGCTGGTTCCTCAAGTGAGGACTGTTCTTTGACCTCCTTTACAAAGGTAACTGGACTGGGGGGATGTGGAGAGTTGAGATTGCTTTTGAAGTTAACGTAGTTAGCCCACCCTACATATCTATATGAAAGCTGGCTTGCTTGTCCACTTAAGTTGGCAAAGTAAGCTGTATCATTTGTGTGGTGAAGGTGGTTAAACATTACTTTTCATTGTATTCATAATATTAGCTTCAGTGTTGCAGTCAAACCTGTAATGAGCATCAGGGACCCTGGCTGAAAAAAGACGAGTGCACGCATTGCAGAAATTCCCTGAACGTTACCGGGAAAGATGGCCGTACCTCCACATCTCCAGACTTGGCCGTCGTGCATTCTGCAGTAATGCTAGTGATATTGACATCAGTCATTAGAGATGTTCAGGTTAATAATTAAACATCAAATGATGTGCATTTTCAGAGCAGTGTTCATGAATCAGCATGTGTTGTAAAGTAAAAGGGGTCGAATTTAGTCTCCTAAAAGAGTGAGGGGGTGATGTGCGCTGCTTCTCGACACACGGGGGAGCTAGCAGCCTTTTATGTCACAAGGCAACATTATGAATATACAAATGATTCCGTGCACATACATCACTGAATCAGCCAGTTGTTAGCAAGAATGTGTTGAGATGGAGAAGGAGTGTATGAACTTCACTTTGCATGCACGCAGGTGGGCGGTCTCACCGCTGGAGCTGATGCCTTTTAGCACACGCTGAGTCAGGCAGGTGGAAGGAATTTAAAAAACACTCAAATGAGATCTCACCAGAAACTGCAGCTTAGTTCACCCCTGGCAAAATGTTGTGGTTTGTGCATGTGTGAGCCCATTTTTGTGGTTGTGCGCTGTTAACAATTAATATCAGTTGAGTTCAGATATGCACCAGGGCCAAGAGGCTACGAAAATAAAACCCTGCTGCTCCTCATTAGCAAGCACATTAACGTGTTTAGTAGGGGCTCTGTTGGCTCTACGTATATGTTACAGTCTACAAATAGTGTTTGGATGTTAACAGTTGTTTTTGAACGTATATGTTACAGTCTACAAATAGTGTCTGGATGTTAACAGTTGTTTTTGGTTTGGTTTTGTGCGTGTGTTGGCGTGAGGTGGTGAAATAATGTCACTCGAGGTCTGGAGAATACAGTCTGTTTTGGTTCTCCCTGTTGGCTTGGCCTTACACTGGAGCCTTTTTCTGTGTGAACATAGACTATTTCTATCTCTCTGTATTTTCTTCCACTAAGTTGTTGTGCAGCCTTTCCGTTTGTACCCACCCGGGCAGATTGAGTGGAAGCAGGACAGCCCCCAGGGGGAGCCACGTTTGGCTCAGCCAGTCCTGTTGAAAGGCCACTCTGACTGTGTGCGAGAAAGAATGTAATGTTGGTTCAGTCGAGCAGCCTTGTCTGCTTGTTTCTCATCTTTTGGCTTGTCTAGGAAAATAGAGGTGGTCAAAAGTAAAGTTTAATAGTCAGCTTCATTTAAATCTGTATGAGAGAGAGTGGGATTTTAAGTCCCCCTTCCTCCCTTGTTTTCCAGGTGCCCATCATACCCATTGTTTTCTCCTCCTACAACAACTTTTACCTACGGAAAGAGAAGCAGTTCAAACCAGGTAACACGTTGATTGTTCTCATTTTTCCATTGCCGGACTAATCCACATCTGTATGGCTACTTGTTGTTCTGTGAGACTTCTGACAGTAATGATTTGTGCCTCCGCAGGGACCATCACATTGAAGATCCTTCCAAAGATCGAGACAAAGGGCATGACGTCAGAGGATGTGTCATCTCTCGCCGACAAATCCTTCAATCTGATGCGCTCTGTCTTGCTGGAGATCTCTGACTCCATAACCCAGAGCAATGGGCCCTTGAGGCACTGAACATTAACCACACTCCTGCCTCTCTTTCTCCTGTGCCCCTATCTGAGACCCATTCCTCTCCCTCCTTGCTCCCCTCAGGTTGTCCCATATCTGGCCAGGAAACAACATGACACAGGCCTCATGTCATGAAATCTCTTTTTGTCTAATTGACTCCTGGTCCAGTCTGCTGCTGGCCTGACCATAGAGCACAGTCAGTCCCGACCCTCACTGTGTCTGCAGCAGCACTGGCAGTGGCGCTGCTCTGCACGCCGTGAGCGGAGTGACGGACGGCAGTCTTAATAGTAGGGATGTGTGTTGTTCTTCATGCATGCCTTTTGGATGGCTCTGTCCACTTTCATCCTTGCTTTGGAAACCTGGCTTGGTTGTTGTCATACTTTATGATGACTTTGTACTTTTTTTTGGCCTTTATGTCCTGTGTCCTCTTTTTATTCTTTCACTTTCTGTTGCCAGTGGATATTTATGTGTTACTGTCATTCTGCCTTGGGTTAGTTCCCTTTGGATACACACACAAAGTACTTCATCTCATTCTTTCCTTTCCTTTTAGTCCCCCCCCCCCCTTTCCATTCCAGTCTCTTGACTAAAGACAAAAGGAGTGGGGTTTCCACGAGCAGTGGAGTGTGTGGAGGTAAGAGTTCGATGCCAGTCGACCATCAGCGATCTTGGTTCTGTTGCTGTGAATTCAGCTCTGTATCCATATTGGCTCTGCAGCGCTATAACATGCATCATGATGTCAGAATACAAGGAATTCAATGTTACAAGTATAACAATGGCACCCATCTGTACTGGATTAATGCACTTAAGTGGACTGATCAGTTTTCAGTGTTGTGCATTGTTGGTGTATCATTGTACATTCTTGTGGTTTGTCTCTCCAAAAGATTAGAAATAACTTGTGTGCAGCTTGGAGCAGCTCGTGTCTTCTGGCTGTGTCCTGTACATTTGCTCTCTCTTGATTTCCACGTGGGTTAATCTTGTTTTATAGAAGCTATCACACATTTTTTGCTCCTCCTTCACTTATCTAAGATGTGTCAAAAAGAGAGTTTCATAAAGTGCAATGTCCAACTGTTTTGGCATTACTGTTCCAAAGTGCAAGCTACCTGATGTGCCACAACGGAGTGGTTTTCGGAAAGTTTCCCACGGAAGTCCACTATCCTCTTACTATGACCTACTTAATCACTCATCCACTAATTGCCCTTAACCAATGATATAAGGTGGTTCTTGCTGATAGGAAGAGAGTGAAACTTGGGTTCAGCTATGTGAAGATATAAATCTCAAGATTTGACTTGGTCTTATTTGTTCTGATTAGCATTCACTAGTTACTAAAAATCAAATCTATATCTCAGAAGATTATATGCAATTCATTAATTGGAAATGTGGAGGGTTGTGTCCCCCTCTTTTTTTATATATATATTAATATGAAAGTGACATGCAGGTGAACAACACTTTTGTGGTTGTGATGTTCTGATTTGATTTCTAATTAACCTGATAGGAGAATATTAGATTATGGTTAAGTTGTGGAATTGATTGGTTCTTGTCGCACTTCGGATCGTTTGGAAAGCTCGCTTATGATCAATTACTCTTCTGTAATATGTACTGCCAATGACTTGCAATCAGATAATACTGACTGAATGGTTTTAGTTTACGTCCAACTGAAATTTCACATTTCTTACTGCCTTTATACTGTTAGCTTTTGCCCATCAAAACCATCTGAGAATGTATTTCATCATTCAGGATATTTATATGCTACTAATTGCTTTTTGGTTTTTTCCTATTATGTTAGTTGGATCTTGCATACATCTGGCATCAGATCCAGAACATGTATTTATTTGAGCATTAAACATTAAGTTTAGACTGACTTGTACACACACATCTTCTGAATGGACTGATCAATAGTTTTGGTACTAAGCCTGTACACTGCTGTTCATAGCTGAGTGCAACAGTAGATTTAGTGATAACTTGCTGGGCTTTTTGCTTTAAGTACATATGACAGTCAGGGTTTCGTAGGCTGAGGGTGTGGAATACACGCCCCTACTCGTGACAACTGATTAAATTCTGTTTTGTTTTGTTTTTTCCTTAGTTTGAATATATTTATTGACTCTTTTTCTTATCTGTAAGAGCTTATTTTATCTTTGCAGCCAGTGTTTTGAATGTTAAAAGGTTTACCAAATTGGTTTCTTCCAAAATACAAACTATAATGTACCATATAAATGTTGCTAATGGAGTGTTTTATCGAATGATTTCCTGTTCATTTCTTGGTTATTTAGCAGCACAGATGTGTGATTTGTAAACTTTGTGTCATGAGCTCGAACCAGTTGCTAAGGGTCTCTGCAACAGCCCTGCTTCACTAGTTGTTTATGAACCAATATTTAAAATATTGGGAAAGACTCAAAGTATTCTGAACCGTAATAAAGCACTTTTCGTGCTGAGTGAGTGGAAAAGTAAAACTGCTTTTCTCTGGTTTTCATCAAAGCTATTAAAGTGTAACTGGTGGAAGTTTTAGATGGATATGAGAAACAGAGCTGACATCTTGCAGAGCCTCGTATGTGTGAGTACATGTGCACACGTGGCATAGAAGCTCATTATAGTATCTGTTTAATATCGATGCTGTAGTGTTCTTGTTCTTGTTTACCCTTCTTTTGGGTAAATGTGAATGCCTTGCAGAAGAATAAATGCAAATTCATTAATTCTTTCTTTTTTCACCCAAATGTTTTTGTGCACTGAAATGCCTGCTTTGCCCTCTGCTGCGATTTTACATTAGAAGCAGTGATGGAAAGTAACAAACTGCACTGTACGCTTTACATGTATACGTGAGCGTTTCCATTTCTTCTACTTGATACTTGTACTCCATAATATTTTAGAGAGAAGTCAGTGCTTTATACTCCACTACATTTATGCATCTGCTCATTTGTAGGCCATTTTACATAGTGCAGATGAAACAAAAGTCTTACCAAGTCATTTGTATCTGTTACTGAGGCCTACTAGTCTCAGACATTTTTCTTGAAGCAACCCTTATTTTTCCTTGGCTTAAGACTGTGAAACTCCCCGCTCTTGAAACAAGTAGTTTTTCAGATAAAACAGGAGGTAATAATTAACTACTGGCTAGTTTTTTTCTTTTCTTTTTTTTTTTTTACATCTTGATAAAGAAACAATATGAATGCCAATTTTTTTTTTTTTTTGTAAAGCTCCACCTCGATTGGATTCTGAGTGTTGTTTACATGTTAACGCATGATCAAAATGAATGTTATATATTAAAATGTTGTTAAAAGGCTGTTCTGCATAATGAGTACTTGTACTTTGAATAGCGGATAACGTGTGTGTACTTGGAGGGCAGGGCGTGTAATACGAGTAGCTTCACTCCAGGTTTGGCGAACACCTAATCCACAACTGCTTCCACTACAAATCAGGGACAGGTCAACGGGAGGTGTTTTATGTTGTGTGAGTGTAATGGAGTGTTTGTTCAATCTTCTATCAGCAGCGTGGACAAGATCATGTTTGCAAACATTACTTGTAATCCTTTCATATTACTGAACACACATCATTTGATTAAGACTTTTTATTACAAAATGTTACAAAACTATATAAAAATGTCTATTGTAGCACTGAGAAATAACTAAAAGTAATCATAATTTAAATAGATAAATACAGTTGTCTGCATCTGCCCCCGGACAGTTTAGGGCTCAGACAGAACGCTGTTACCCTGATGCCAAACAAACAGAAACAGAGTGGCTAGTCTGACCTTTGACCCTCAGGGGGTTTGATTTTGATGATGTTATAGGGAGACTTACTCTGCCATGAAATCAAGAATTTGACAATGAACAGCAAGAAAAGTACATGAACCTGTTAGTGAAGATCACAGATGTTTTGTACCATGATCATGTCACAGCATAACAACGACGACAGAGGCTGCTTCTGCCATCTCGGTGGGTACGATCTCTGGCAGGTCTGTGTCACTGCTAACTTCATGGGAGGTATCTTGAAATAATTATGGTCATGGTCTGTGGTTAATTCTCCTGGCAAGAACCTACAGGAGAGAAGAGTGGAAAGAGTAACTGCGATGCATTGCCCACTGTCCACAAGTTTCTAAATTAGCTGCATATTGTGGCCACTGTGGTTCAGTGGGTACAGCAGTCGTCTCCCAACCAGAGGGTCAGGGGTTCAGATCACGGTGCTGGCAGTCCACATGTCGAAGTGTCCTTGGGCGAGACACTGAATTCCCCTGTTGCCCTGATGGTTAGAGCCATTTTGGTAGCGACTGTAAACTTGAGTGAAAAAGGTTGGGCTGAAATTGTGCTTTGATATAATTGTACCCACTGTAATCTTAACTGAGGGGAATTTGTAAATTTAAGGCTGTTGGCTTTAAATTTTTATAGCTGAAGCTTCTTGATTTGACGTCCCAAATGTAGTAATTGACTGTTACATAATAAAAACAAACATGAAAAAGCTTATAAAGTCATGTAAATCTGATAATGTAATAAATAAAAAAAGCTGTGTGCCTCAAACATGGGCTCAGGAATCCCACATGGGAATGTCTGATATAAACATTGTAATTACAAGAAGTTCTTTCACGGTTCCCTGATGATGATTCTTAATGATTGGAGATCCTTTGCTTTTCCTCTGATGCCGCCATGAGGTTTACTGGATGCAGTGCCAAGGAATTTGGTACAGGCATATCTCCCTCAGGGCGACTTGTGCTACTTTGGTGATACTTTGACTTTTCTTCTAAGGCCTTTATTGGGTCAAATTTTCATGTTGGTTTTTAGACTAATAATGTTTCAATCACCCTGAGCTGTGCTAATGACCAAATGTAAACCTACTAACGCACTAAACTATGATGGTGAACTTGGTAAACTTTATAACACAGGCATGTTAACATGGTCATTGCAGGCAGGTGATTGATTATCATATAGCTGAGGTACCGGTGTGACTAAGCTGCCTGATAGTGTGATAGTTTGACTTTTTACTGAATCTTTAATTTCTTACTTAGGTTAAAGTTTAAGAGCAAATGTATCATTTTACTTGTAGTTTCATGTCATAGCTAAAACGGTTATTACATTACAGGCATAGGATTTTATTACATTATTAGATTTTTTATTAATGTGGGGTTTAAAACATTTGATTTGATTAAATTATGAACAATTATTGCATTTGGGTTTTCACGTGTTCCCTGATCTTTTTAAAGAGGTTGAAATCCTGCTTTCCTAGGACACACAATTCCAGTGGTGTCCAACTAAATATTAGATTTCCCATCCTATAAGTGCTATGAACAAGCCAAGCTCACTCACATGTGCCGAGGCGTTCCTCCAGAAAGCCAATCTGCTCGCTAAGGGAGTCGATGCGGTCTAGTTGCTGGAAGGAGTGGGACAATAAGGTGGTTTTCTCTGACACGCCCTCGTCCAACGACAGCGGGAAGAAGCTGCTGAAGGGGGTTAGCACCAGCTGCAACTTCTGAACAGAGCGAGGAAGAGGAGAGGAAATGAGGGAAAAGAGAAAATGGCTCCAGAAGTGAACTATTACTCAACTCACAGACACAAATATGCTTCAGCAACTGATCTTCATTTACTCTTTATGCTTGTTTCACAAAACATGGGCAGGAATTTAATCAAAGCCATAAAAATTCTCAAAAGCATTTCAATAAATCTTTGGCTTAGGGGTTAAATAGCAACTAGGATTTTATATCAAACCATCCTAGGAGGAGCAGAGGTTGTACTTGTGTGTGTTTGAACATGTGTTTATGTTGTTTTCTCATGTACCTTTTCCAGGAGTTCTACTCTGTTCCTCAGGCTCTGTACCTCCTCTGTCACATTCTCCACCAGGCTGAACCTTTCACCTGCAAAAACCACACAAATACAGAAATATACATCAGAGGATGGTGACTACAGCATTAAAATATGAGTGAATCAAGGGTTTAGGGGGTTTTCTGAGGGCTCCTTTGAGCATTGTGCCCTCATCAATCTCTGTCCTAGAATGATTCATGGCCAACAGAACGCCTCTAAATTGCAAACAAGGAAGAGAACTGCAGAGTTCCAGGGAGGCCAGGGGAAATCATGGATCTGAAAATGGCAGAAAAGGCCAATGCAAGAGAGGTCACCAGAAATATATAAATGAGCACTTGCTCATCTGTGAACCTGTGAACATACAGTGGAAGAGGGTCTGTCTGCCTCCACCTGAGGGTGCAGCAAGCAGGACCCAGACCAGGATTCAGAATTAGGAACTGCTCTCTGGCTGCACTTCAGCAGACAGACCAAGAATGGCTCAATGTTTCCCAGATGTGGTCCATTACTGAGACAAGAACGAGCTAAGAAACAGATTGAGGAGAAGAAGAAAGGGGGGAGCTGGTGATGACCCCCAGCAGACAGGGTTGATGGAGTTGGAATGAGAACACAAGTGTTGGCCAAGAGCAGAGTGAAGAAAGCAGACAGCATGTTAAAAAAGGAAGACAGAGAGACAGAAACGTGGTCCAGCTCTGCTCCACAGCAGCTGTGCAGAGTCTGAGTGATGGTCTACATTTTGAGCATTTAAACCCGTGTTTATGTTTGTGATCTCCATCAACATCCCTCTGACGTGTGCATATGAACAGCTAATGGAATGCAGCCTCCAGCGAAACATCTCTGCTGGCTTTGCAGTTTTGTATCTGAGAACTGAGCTGTGAAACTGAACTCACTCATATAAATAACTCTCCATCACTTTTACCAAGTACTGTAGAAAGATTTGTCATGTTTTTGCCCTCTGCTCCCAGGCCTCTATGTCTTTCTGATGACTCAGCAACACTCGCAAGACTCTCATCAATCCATATCATGTAGAGTCATTGGGGTGAGCAGTCTCCTTTTAGCTGAGGAGTTTAATTTTGTGTGAATTAATTCTTTCTTTCCTGCAGGAACAGTGATAAATAAGAAGGAGTTTGGAGCAGAGCCTGACAAATGTTTGGCAATCTCACATTAACAAAGAAATATTTCTTTATTAGACAGTATCCCCTTTAGATTTAAACGGTGGGAAGATGTAGGAGTATTCAGGTAGGCTTTTTTTAAGGTTTCATGTTGCACAAATGTCCAAAAGAGCAAAGACACGGACACACAATAGGAATTCAAATGAATATCCTGAGGTCAACTACCACTTTTTCAAGATATGGAGAGTGGTTGTATGATTATGTTGCTAGGATACAGGAAGTACACACAAACTAACTGAGTGTGCAGGTTAAAAATATTTCTCTATTAGCATGGGAGCTTTATTAGACTCAGATGTCTGCTTCACTCATAGGACTCAACTGAGCCACTGTCAGTCCAACTGCTCCCAGTCTCACAGTACGGGGCCAGTCGGGGCCTGTCTGGAGTCAGCACCAGTCGCAGTGCATTATTACTCACGGTACGAGTTGAGAGTGGCATAGCGCGTACCAAAAGTAATAATGGACCGCGAAGCTGGCTATGTTTCTTTCTTCTGTACTTCAGGCTCTTTGCTGCTGCAAGACACAAGATTAGACTCTGAACGCACACACACACGCACACTCCTGTGCTTCACTTACCTTTATCAGTGTGACCATCCACTGTTGCCTGGCTGGTCTGGGTGGGAGAGGGAGGGGTGGCAGGAGGAGGAAGAGGAAGGTTTTGACAAGAATGGCCATCTCCAGTGATCCTGAAGCCCTCTCTGCACACACATCGATAGCTGCCAGCTGTGTTCACGCACTCCTGAGCACACGGCCGCTGTTGGCTGCACTCATCCACGTCTGACAGACATGAAAGACAAGGAAATGGGTTTATCTGTGTGTGTGAATAATCACACAGAGCTCCTGTGTAGTAGTGCAGGTGTGCGTGTGTCTGTTTACCTGTTTGGCACTGGTGCCCCGTCCAACCTAGTGGACATGCACACTGGTTGGGTCTTAAGCAGGTACCTCCGTTCACACAGGCTTGTCCACACACAGCTGTAGGAGACATTTAAAGGACATTTCTGGAAATTAATTTATTCACTTTCTTTGGGAGTAACAGGATGTTCTTGACTATTTTTGGCCAGGGAACATTTTGGTACTTGTGCTTACTGACTACCTTGCCAAGAAATAAAGGGATTGATACCAACATATTTGTTCATTAAATATGAATCTACAACCAGGAAACAGGTAGCTTAGCTTAGCCTAAAGATTGGAAGCAGGGGAAACAGCATGCCTGTTTTGTTTAATTTGTGCAAAAACAAAAGTGTAAAAATTACAAGTTGCCATCTTATGTACTGGAATGCTTCTTGCTCAGGAGCAATGGTTTCTTGGTTCCCACTGGTTGCCTGATTGCGTTCAGATATGACATAGCCCAACATATTGTCATCCATAAAACCACATGTTAGTTTTTTGTACAGACTTTTAAAAAAATCATTTATTTTATGTTGGAATTAGCTAGGTTAGCCATTTCCTCCTGTTTCCAGTCTTGGTGCTAAGCTCAAGGTTACCTTGATTGCAGTTGTGAGAGTGAAATCTCCGCCAGCCTGGGCAGCACTCTGGGTAGAAATGCATAAGAGGCACCACTTTGCTCACCTGCCGGTACACCACTGAGTACACAGTCCTGTGGAGTGAAAACACACAACCATGTATAGTAGTTAGAGATTTGTGGTTGTTCACAGTGCTGTTATCGACCTTACATATGCCTTTCTGTCAGACCTCTGAAAACAAAGAACACTAAAAACACTAAAACCACTAAAGCAGGATTAGAGTCCTGCCCAGAGAATGAGCAAAACACTGAAAAAATCCCAAAGTGAAACAGAATATCAGAGGTGAGTGAAGGGTTAAAAGGAAGATTAAAATGGAGGGAATGTTAAGGAGGGAAAGCATCAGAGCTGGAGAGAGAGATCGAGAGCACATAAGTATGAAGGAAGATGCAGTCCAAAATAAACACGGCTGCGGTCTCTGTGGGCAGGCAGTTCATTTCCCGTAGTTACACAAAGTACTCAATATTTAGATTCCTCGAAAAATGTGCCACCATGACCCAGTTCTGCGCAAAACTTGTGTGTGTGGGAGAGAAGGTCTAGATCTGCTGTATTTATGACTTCACTCCAAACCCTTTCCCTTCCTAAACATGTTAATTAAATAAACGTCTCAGGGTGGCTTAATTAGAACATGGTTCTAGGTCAACCATTATGACTCAAGTACTGAAAATGCCTGACAAAAGCTGAAGATGACTAATTTTGTTGTTATTTGTGTGTGTTCAGTGTGTTGTTGTGTGTCTGTAGGGCGGGGGAGCGTCTCACTTGTATGTGCTGCAGAGGCGATGCCCCTGACACACAGTGATGTAGGGCTTGTGCACCGGCTGGACGTAGGACTCTGTTGCCATAACAACGCTGTGACGGACATCTCTGCCACACACCCTCCTCCTGCAACAGGAGGACATGAGATCAAAAATGAAAACTGACCTAAAATACAGATATTTGGCCTCAAATGGCAGCACCAAGTAGATTCTAGTATGATATTTGGGCCCTAAGTTCACATGTGAGCCTCAAGCTTCCTGTTTGTCAATCAAAGTAGCTGTGCAGCCTAATTGCTCTTGACTGACCCATCTAATCACTCCTGAATGTGTCAGATTTAAGACTTGATCTTTGACCTCTGTGGCTCCACTTGACCTTTCATTTGGCTTTCAGTTTATGTTTGGTGTTTGTGCAAATCAACTGAAAATGGCAAAATTAGCCTGCAGACTCTCTTGTGCTTGTGTGTGACTAATAGTCTAGGACAGAGGAGCAGAGCCCTGGTCCTGAGACAGTGCACTCTAGACTGTTTAAATGTCATTGGAACAATCTGTATAAATTCACAGCGGGTGAGAATGTCAAGTCGAGCAAAGAGGTCGCTAAAACAAACAGATCTGAATGACAGCCAAAGTGGAGATCTGTAGCCTAAGGACCACACTGACCAAACGACCATAATAAACACAGGAAGAGTATTAAGTGAGCTGTTACCCGTGGTGAGCGAAGAGCTGGGGAGTGCCCATCACATGAAGGAAGAAAAGGGATGAGAAAAGAAGCAGAATTTGGTACATTGTCTTCCTCTTTCCCACGTTCCCTCGCTCGGTCTCAATCTCCTCTCTGTGCCAGTCAGAGGGAAGAGGAGGATGAAGGGGAGGGGGGTTGTGGAACAAAGCCAACGCCTCCTCACAATGAATGTGTGCGTTTTCCTCCAGGAGGATGACTCCAGCTACCTGGAACAAGAGGAAACGTGAGATAATTATACCGTATGTTAAAACTGAAATCCAGCTCTCTTTTTCATCATGCATGCATGCACTTGAGCTAAAACAGTGTGAACTAGAGGATAAATTCCACAAGTTTCAACAGAAACATGAATGGAATACAGTTCATTCCTCTGCAGCCACAGGTCAAAACACATTTCCTTTGAGGAGACCGAGGAGAGAGGGATGGACTCTGCTCTTCAGCCAGACTGTCAGTATCGGCTGTGATATGTCAAAACAGACTTCCACAGGAGACCAGACCGATGCACACTCCCCTTTTCAAAATCATTAGTGCACATTAAATCTGGGAAGCAAAGGTTGAACACCACACAAGCTCTGTCATCTACCATTAGATAAGTAAGGTAAGATGGTGAGAAACAGAAGACTTGTTACCCTAGAATGAAAGAAACTGAAGGCCTCGTGTCAGAAAAATGGAAAACTGGCTGAAACTGCAAAGCAGTCACGTTTATGTGCCAAGAATGAATCTGAGTTGCGCAATATGGGTCTATAAAAAGAGATGCCGTTCTATCGTGGGCGGACAAAAACAAGCATGAAGAAGGTTACTCTATAGTTGTCTTCTTGTTTCATTATTATTATTTTTAAATTAACATTTCCTACTTAGGTCTTGTTTTGTTTTAACCATTTCATTTATTATACTTTACTAATCCCAGTGGCGAAATTTCTTGCTGATGGTGGTGATGTCAGGCCACCAGGGGCAACTAGGGGTTCAGTGTTTTACCCAAAAAAGACACTTCCACATGTGTACTGGGCAGAGCAGGGATCAAACCACCACCCCTTCTGACTGGGAGACGACCACTCTACCTCCTGAGACACAGCCACCCTTTAAACTGTCATTTTGAATGTTTGCCATAATCATTTTTGTATTTTAAACAGTCTAAATTTTTCTAACCTTTTTCTCAAAGACTGACTTTATTTCCCTGGGGAGAGATATTAAAGGCCATAAAGCAGAGTGCAGTGGCTGCTGTAGGTGCAGCTGCATGTTTAGGTTCCCTTTTTTTTTTAGCAGTAAAGATCTGATTTATGCTTTGTTTGTGTTTTAAAGTGAGGATTTTGATTTATGTGATAATGTCAGGAGCAGCTATCCATGTGAAAGTAGAAATCCTGGACTCCAACAGTAGACAGCCTATCGCTAGACAGATGTTTGGATGCATCCTTGGGCCTGGCAACTTGAAGCTGAACTTTGGTACTGGATTGGTTTTAGTGATTCTCAGGCTGAACATCTGACCATTACTTAGCCACACAACCACAAAGTGTCCACTCGAGCAAAAAGCCACACCGGTGGGCATCTATGCATTACCTATACATGTGCTACAGCTATAGCCTATGTTAGCCCCCTGTTCTTGTGGACAAAGCAGGGTAAACTCCCACTGACCTGTACCCGCATGTACTCTGAGGAAATAAAACAAAACACAAGGCCAAAAGACAAAATGAGAAAATAACAGTCAGCTTGGACCTGCTCCTGCCCCAACCCTGCCTTACAGACATGTTTTTAATAGAACAGATACTAAACTCCAGCTGGGTGTTATCACATGTCACAGAACAGTAGCCTGCAGGAGAGCCCTCGGTGATGCTAAGCCTCAGTTGACACCTTGCATAACTCTGATCCCTTGTCGACTTGAAGCCCAGAGACAGGACATGCACATCTACAGCTTGTGTTCATTCACAAATAACCACAGCGTGGGTGATTCTCAATGCAAAAGGAAGGTGCTTTGAAGACAGCATGTGTGTACATGCAGTGCACTGTCACACATCACCATATGGACAATGAAAAACGTGCAAGTTGGGTTTTGTTATAGCACTGTCTCTACTGTACAAAAATGCCTGATATGATGGGGTTATAGTTTTTTTTATTCGGATGTTATGGATATGTAATAAAATAGGATGCTTGTGATCCAGATGTGTGTCTGGGACTCCACAGCTCAGAGTACGTGCTTGTATCTACATTATGTGTAATTTTCAAAGTGAATCGTTTCTGGCAGACACGTTGTAATATTCACCAGAGGGCACTGCTGTGCTCCACTTGCTCCAGTACGTCTGGAAATCAGTTTTACACCCTCACTCTGTATACTATCTCTGTATTACTCTCGCATACACGCACGCAAAGTTACCTGCACACACATTAAACGAACAACTCCACAAACAGAGAATAAACGGAAAGAATATAATGTGTAAAAAGCGATGATGCTGTGCATGGACGCACAAACAGACAGAGCGCACATGCATGGATACAAAAACAATTACAAACCGTGCAATGAACAAGCAGCTTTCCTAAGATTAATCCTCTTAAAACACAGTACTGCACTGCAGGAATTGGAGAAGTGACCAAAGTTAGTCCCGTTGCGTTCCGCTGCTAGAGTCCAGTGATAAACTCGGGTTTCTCCTGGAGCTCAGCCTGTCAGGGAGCATGGGGGGTGATGGTAGGAGATGGTAGGACCTCCTCCCACTCCTCCAGCTTGGAGTCCTCCAGCTCACAGACTGCTTGCACTGGGGGACCCGTGTGTGACGTCATAGCACAGCCTGTATGGACTGTTCATTCCCATTACATTGGTGCATTTCAGCTGGGCTGACTGTTGGCGTGTTTTACGCAAAAAGCCAGAATAATTAAAGAATAATTTCACATTTTTCCAGGTCTGTATTGAAACAATAGTCCCGTAGCCTACCTGTGTAGCACTGAAACCACATGTCCTTGCTGTAATAATAATTCTCCCTGTCCATTAAGTCCATGAAGTTTCTTAACATACCTGCCGCGTAAGTGAAGGGGGACACAATCCGAGGCTTCAGCAGTCTGAGTGTGAAGTGTGAACTCATTTCTGTGTCCACACTTGTGTATTGTTTTAAGATGGACTTGAAAATGTGTTATCTAATTTAATTTAGTTAGTTATTATTATTAGCATCATAAATAAGTCTAAACAGACTGCATACATGTCAAACCGTATTATCCATACAGTATTTAGTATTTAGTTCTTTTGAAGTACCTGCTGTAACGTTGGTTAGACTATACTGCAGTAACAAAAGCCACAGATTATATATAATCTGTGACTGTTGTCCAGCTCCTACCTGTGTGTAACAGCTTTCTTATAGGCTCAGCTTCAATGTCGCCTTATATGTTTGTGTTAACGTATTGTGTCATTAATGTACCCATAGCTGACCGTGAACGAAATAAAATAAAATAACTCTCACCTTCGCAGTATGGGCTCACTAGGTGCACGCGCGCGCGCAGGCTTAGCAGCGGCCATGGACGCGGGCCGCCTAGCCGGAGGATTGGAGGATTCTTCCATGGTGCCAGTTTCTTTTAAAGCTCAGGTCGGTGGTTTCAGATAAAAACCTCGGGGCTAACTGGAGGTGCTCGCTGTGAGTCGACTGGCCACAAATGAAATGTCTCTGGGCGTTTTTCACTTGCTTTTTATGCAGGTCTTCCTGTGGAACGCAGGAATTGGATGGACAATCCCAAACCGGAATTCCTGTGAGTGTTTGCCGCTGATAAAACCCTTCTCCTGCACAAACACTCTCCATCCTGCTCAAACCGCTTCGTGAATCTGATTTTGGGGCATTTTTCTGTTCCCATTGTGGTGCAGACATCTTGAAATACTGTACCTTCAGCCTTCTCAACCCTGGGCCTTCTGCTGCCTTTGCAATGCAGTCCAGAGGAAAACAGTGAATCATCACAGATGGAAGGCTATTTTTACTTTCTACAACTTACACATGGGTTAATATAACACAGTTTACTTATATTTGAAATACAGTACTTCAACTGGTGTATGGCCATGTTTACAGGCCTTAAGGTCTCTGTGAGATCAAATCTGTTAAATTGCAGCTTGTTAGAGCCAAACAGTTTGATAAGGAAGACGTTTCTTTTTCCTCCTTGTGCTTGTATGTTTCTGTTGTAGCTCACTGCAGCTCAGGGGAGGAGTGATAAATCTGTCACACAGTTGTTTTAAAGAATCTGTTTTTGTCACTCTCACCCACACTGAGACAGTGGTGGAAAAAAGCCATAAAGAAGCTTTAAAATGCTTCTGTTGATTTTTATTAATGAGTGGTCTTGTTTCTTTCATAATGTGGTTAGAATAACTCTTTGAAAACATCATAATCCAGTGATTAATTGCATTTTTAATTTAATGACATCTTGCAATGATGTCCATTTAACAGCTGATCTGGAGCTGCTGCTAAATGAATTTTGTAGGGAGACTGTTTTCTTAACTGCTGTTTCTAGGGTCACAAATGAACAACCTGTAATATACCTCATATTTTAAATGTATTCCTTCACTTGGCCCAGAAAGACTTTGCAGAATATGAGCATTTTAGTTCAGTTCAGTAGTAGAAGAACCGAAACTCCTGCACACTCTTGATCAGTTTTGTGTCATTCACTTAGACCAGTTTACAGGATTTTTGCTGGTCCATTCAGAACTTCCCCATGTTTCCCAGTCTTGTTAGAGTTTTGGAGTTTGTTTGGATGGGGTCATGCCACCCGGGCTCAGAAGGGGTTTCTAATGCAAGCCTAGTAGCTGACATCATGCACTAAAGACTCTGCTGCTCCTCCTCTGCCTTGAAGCTGAGCTTGACTGAGATTAGTCTGACAACCAAGACTCATTTGTCATTGTAACTATGGGCAGTATGACCACACACTCACAAGGTTAAACGTGCATGTAAGCATGTACACACACTAAGACGAGGGTTTTTTGTGCATGTATGTGTTTATAGTTTGGTGTCTGGACTCAGTATTTAGTGTTTGGTCTTTTTAAGTGTTCATTTAAGGGGCTGAGCAAATTAATGATCTGACCATTTTGTTTGCACAAAACTATTTTCTCTGTGGTAACAAAGAGCCTACGTGCTGAGGCGCCACGGGAACACTTTACTTTGGGGCTGCAGGTGAGCACATACCAACACACAGCTTCAAGACTGATCGCTCAGAGGGATAGCATTAGAATATTGGATGCAGAATCAGTGTGGGCTTCTTTCTGAGTGTGTGTGAAAGCTTGTGTAGGAGAGACTGGTGTAGGAGGGTATCTCTTTTTAAGGAACTCTCTTCATTCTTTGAAATCAAAACTTGGCCAACACAAGCAAAGCTTTGCAGTTGGCGTTCCAGATTTGTCCCGGAGAAGATGCAGGAGAGGAAAAATGTGAAACATAGCAGCACTTCCTCACGGAGAGGAAACAGGAAAAGACTGGGGGAATGAGATTGTGGAGCCTGCTCCTGTGGAACAATAAAAATCTCACTTTGACAGGAAAAGGATATGCGTCAAAGAGGGCTTGACAGACTTTGCTGTAGGGCAGTAGCAGTGACCCTGGATGGGGCGTGAACAAGAGGGCAGCTGTACCCAGCAGTAACACTAAAAAAGTAAATCTTTCTAAATTCATGTGGCTCAGTTTAGTACATAGGTTTCATGTGTAGCTACATGTGCAAGAGATGCAGCTGTGAACGCTCAGAAGGGGAATAATATCTAAGCCTTACAAAAATACCAAAAAGCCTTCACACTTTGGAAGATACCTCAAAAAAAGTTTATTTTTAGCTCAAAAAAATCACATGCCTGAGATTTTCTAAGCTAATTAACTTATTTTTTGAGGTATCTTTCACAGTGCGAAGGCTTTTTGGTATTTTTGTTTGATGTACTTCTGCTGAGCGCACCTGTTGTGTACCTTGAGCGTACGTTTTTGAATATAGTTGACTCTGAACCTTACAAACAAACAATCGTTGTAGAGAAGCTTTATAATAAGAGGCGCAATAGCTGCAGAATTCATGGTCATTCTTGAAAAGTGAGAAAACAAGGTAGAGGATATATTTTAACACAGGCTGTCTATTTAATACTGGTTTGTATTAGTGGCATAGTTTGTGTACACATCAGAGTTGCTTTTGTTGTTAGTTTTAATTTGTTAACATAACTTTGTGTGAATTTTCTCATGTGAATGTGTTTGTACTGTATGTGGTCACATTTCTGCATGTAAAACATTTTTCAGGGCTTAAAACCACAAATGACAACTTTGTCTCAAAGGGCTTTACAATCTGAACAGCATACAACACCTTTTCCCCATGCACTAGCTGTTATATATTACAATGCACGGGATATTACAACAACAAATAATGCACTATACATAACATAATTAAACTTGGCCTGAAATGAAAACTCATTTTTTGCTAAGAAACCATTATTATAGAGATTTCTGTTGTGTTTTTATTTGTGAACTTTTCTGGTCAAAATGATACAAAAGCAGCACAGTGGGAATCAGCAACGTAGGCTAACTAGTTTCCACTGTCTGAGTAGAATAGAAACAGCACAGTGGCTCATCCCAAATGACTGATAACTTTATGTGGGCTTGTTAAAAAGCCAGCTCCATAGGCCTACACGCCATGATGTTCTTCAGTCACGTGAGCCATAGACGTTCTGAGGACATGATGTCACTGAACTGCTGTCATGGGAAATGGCTCAAAGCTGTTGACACAATATCTAAAAATGGTTTTTTTCTTGTTTTGAAGAATTGTACACTAGCAGTTGTATCTTTTCAGCACAAAATGAGCAGAATTCAAGTTTCAGTCCAGCTTTCAACCCCTGGTCTCCTTTAAGTTTTGAATCATTCAAGATTTTGTCATTACCACCGCCTGAAGAATAAATAAGCAGAGGGAGGGATGTTTTACTTTAACATGGTTATTACATGCACAGCTGTCTTGAGAGAGTAAAGTCAGACTTAATGTTGTGTGATTGTGTTTGCGAGTTACTGTTGAGTAGGCAGAGATAGATGTGTGAATTAGATTTTGACATAATAAATGGCGAGAACACCACTGTGCCTGATGTGATCAACTCTGCTGATACACAAGTGACCTGGGAGCAAAATGAGGTGCAGCATGTGCGTCTGCTGGTCTGTAGGATTTCAGTGCTGAGCATCCAAACAGGACGTCCTGTTGTCCAAAGCCTGTCAGCATCAGACAAAGCCGAGGCCTGCGCTAACCCCAAACCCTCTAGAATTCTCAGAGACTCAACCAAACCAAAAACACTCTTGACTAATTTTGTAATGTGTGCATAATTAGATTGCAAGTACATGTTGTAATGCCCCCATTAATGGCCTTTCCTGTATACGGCCCTGCTGCCAGCTCTCCTCACCAGTCTGTTATCAACAGTGTGGCGATTAGGGAGTTTATACACACCCCACCAAACTATATGTATCAGAAACACATGTGGGTCTCGCTGCTTTAATTACTATATTATTCAAATATCTGTTGTGTTGACTGGGGTCCAGTGTCTCCCCACATTTGTTCTCTGAACACTCTCCGTGCTGCCACAACAATCCCAAAATATTTTCTCTAGCCTGTTCCAAGATGATTTAATGTTCTCTTCCCGCATGAATATTTATTACCTAGATGCCGAGGTGCTACAGCAAGCAGCACTACATGGTGAGAAATATAATATTTCCTGGCTGTGAAATCTCAGCAGCGGTATTTGGCATTCTACTGTTCTGTGTTGTTTTCATGAGCGGTGTGCTTAGATTTCTTCCATGGATTATTTTTCAACTTTTACAGAAATAGACTAAGCAGGAAAGTGATACTGGCATTAGAAGATTGTTCATCTCAAAAATGATTGTTCATTACTGTGTTATTGTGTATGTTTCATACTTCATAATAATGCAGTTAACATTTAGTCAAATATGTTTCATGTTTCTGATAAAGATTTAAGAAGGTTTCAGCCTGCTGCTCACATTAGAGGAAAGCTCGGGGGATCACCTCCAATCCTGTTTCCTTCTACTCTTCACGTTCAGTGCATGAACCATAGCATGAGGCGATGGAACCAGACCAGTGAAATTACACCTCTCATCTCTTAACAAACCTCTCTAGATCCCTGTAGGCTCCTACATGACCCTCTTACATGTGTTCATCCCTTCATCCTCCACCCTCGCATCATCTCTTCATAGTTAACAGTGCGTTCTAGTGATTCTTTCCCTGCAGCAACTGGAAAAGCCTGACTAGTCAATTTTATAGACCTTTGTGCATCAGTGCATCAGTCTGGAGCCACTCTGATGACAGCCACAAGTATGACATCCACACTGCTGGATAGATGGATACTATATCAAAAGGGATTGCGTGACATCAGGATGGAGCAGAGGGTCGGAAGGTTTCTGTTCAGCCAGGCAACCATCTGTTTCACAGCTGTCCTCAGGGAGACAGAGAGTAGTGGTGTGTTAAGGCCGAGACCACCCAACACACCAGCAGCTTCTTCCTGACTGTCTCACTGTTTACCACCAGGTCTTATTCATGTTTTTCTTCATCTGCCACATTTCCCACAAAATGATCATATCTGAATGAGGGCTACAAGTAACCTTTGATTTTTCATCAGCATTACCATTAACAGCATTACAATTTCATGTTCCTCTTCACCTGATGAATGTAAGTCTAATATTCACTATTTGTTT